ACCCACATCTTTCCCTACCACACCATCCTTGACATTTTTTTAAAAACATAAATTAAAGAGGCTGCGACACGATTGAGCATAAAACACCTTTCTTGCGACACGATTGAGCATAAATTGTCGGCGTATCAAAGGAAATTGAAATACAAAAGAAAACCAACACGATTGAGCATAAAAAACTCTGCAACGTTGCCATTTTCAATTTTGAACTGTATCGTATAAAAACATTTATTTAAATAATTATAATAAATCAAAATATAACATGACAAAAAAATATCATGTTTTCATAGTCAATATTTAATATGCATGAAAATACTTATGATAGTAGTATAAATAGCTGTCACAGTATATAGATATTTTTGTTAATAATAAAATAATAATAATAGTTATGACTTATGACTTATCAAAATAATAAAATCAAAATATTTATAAATAGTTGTCACATTCATATTATAATACAGTATAATATACCTAGCTAGATTTTTTGATAATAATAAATTAAATTGATACACCTTGGTATCTGCTTCCAATTTGACTTAAATAAATTAATAAAGATTCCGTATTCTTACGATTTAAAAACTGGCTGTAGGCTTGAATATTCAATTCATTTTTTTTTATTTCTTTTGCGGATTGTAATTTTCCAGGCTTGTGTCGAATTGAATTGATCTTAGTCGATGTTTCCGCTTGTGTTTCGATCAATACCCTAACGACTGTATGAACATGGGGGTGAGGTGAATAAAACTGTGAATTGTACGTGCGATGAAAGCTTTCAGCTGCATTGGTCGTTCTAAAAAAAATTAAATAAAACAATACAAATTAGTAAAAAAAGTTTTTATAATAAGTTTTAAAAAATATTGTTAAAAACCTTGGGTTTAGCGAAGGAGTTTCCGCCCAAATATTTGGAGGAAACTGGCAGTGATCTTCAATATAGTTGTGTATAATGTAATCAGAAAATATGAAACCGTCATCATTTGGACAAATTGATATTAACTCGTGAAATGCATCAACTACTTCTTCTGGGGAAATAAACGCCAAACCAAAAAACATTTTCAACCATTTCCCTAGTTCATTACTGTTGTCCATGTATGCTATTCTGAGTGAAGGTTCGCCAACAATCTACAAACAAATTATTATATTTTAGTAAAAAAGCACTATATTATATAACTGTTTCTTACTTTTTTCCACCATGATTGTCCTAAATGAAATCTACATCCAATTATTTTAATATTTCCAAACACGTCTGTAATTGCCTGATGAGCTCCAATTTCAAAATCAACATGAAATGTGTTAATTTGCAAACTTTTTTCGCATAATTTCAAACATAAATTATTTAAAAATTGCCACATTTTAATATAAGTAGACCTAGTTTTATTTGGTAAAAAAAAGTAAACAAGTGGTAAGTAGTATCCATTTTTATATCCATGTATTGTGTACAATTGAATAAAATATTTTGGAGCATAATTAAATGTGCCATCGCCAAAATACTCAGTACAATTATTTGTCATAAATTGTAGATTTTGTTCTGTAGTTAAACATACAAAATTATCATCAGTCGGCATGTAAATGAATTGTTGACCCTTATATTTAAAACATTCTTCATTTTTTAAGTCACTTAATTGATGAATTGTTTCATCCAAAGAAGTTGGTAATTTAGGATAGGTCTGCTTCCGTTTATCATACATTGCTTTCCGTACATTTCTTACATTTTGATTGTTTAAATTTGATGTTGGAGAAGAATTTAAAAGTTCGGTGCGAATAATTTTAAGTGGCCGTGTGTAAATTGATTCTTCAGCTTTTCTTTTGCAATTTTCTCTTAAAACTTGCGTTTCTATTTTCTCAATAGAATTTTTATCGTGATTATGTTGTCCAGCAGTTTCAATCACTTTACGTTTATCGAAACCCGAGAACATTATTGCCGAACATTTATTATTAGTACACCTCCATCTCAAAAGATTGTCTTTTTTTCGCTCTCCAATTAATTTATACTTGTATAAATTAACTAGGGCCAATTCTTTGCCTCTTTCCGATAAAATAATTGTTATATCCATATTTTAAAAAAATAGAAAAACGCACTAAGTATACACGCACTATACACTACACAGGTGATCGAACACTGATATTATTTCTATAATAATTTTGGATTTGTATCTTAATTATCTTATATTTTCCCCCGATGCTAAATGTTTAAAACGTCGTTTTGCTCCGGAACTAATTTATTAATCGATAACATTGTCGATAAAATTTATAAAGCCGATAAAGCTCACGGCTCGCGTCAGATATCATAATAATTGGTGTAATAATACGAGAAAATAATAAATTACAAAATTTTGGCAACGTGAATGTGGCAACGTCGCATAAAATATTCTATGCTCAATCGTGTTGCTAAAAAGGTCTATGCTCAATCGTTTTATGCTCAATCGTGCTTTACCGATTAAAGAAGACTACAAATTATTAAAAATAAAATTACCTGCCTACTTGTAATTTATCAACTCAAATTTCAGATTAGTAAATTCTAATAGGCTTATCCTTTTTTTATGTTAAAATCAACTAAAATAAATTAAAACAATACAGAATTTTCGATCTAATTGTCGAGTGTTGTTATGTTACTATCGACCAGTGGCGTACATACGAGGGGGGGGTCTGGGTTCAAAAGGCCTACTAACATGTATGGTATATTTATTTAAAATATACTACCTACTCTATATCTACTTATAGTTATGAGCTTTATACTAACTTTCAACAGTTCATCTAGTTTTTATAAAACGATGAGTTCCTTCTTCGTTTTATAATGAAAATAAAATCTTGTTTCTTAAAACTTTCCAAATAACTTACAATACCTACTTACTGTGTATTTTTATTAGTTTAAAATGTTTAAAATTTTAATTTATTATTCATTTAGTTTCAGTATAAAACAGATAATTTAAAACCAAATAAACATACATATTTTACAATAATTAGTATAGCTATATGGGCAAATACAATGACATGAAGTCATTGGGATTTTACATTCCTTAAAAAATATAAATATCTAACCTGTTAATATACAGAGTAATGTAACTAAATACTTACTTCGGAGAAAAAACTGATTATTTGAAAAAAAAAATAATTTTTTATGTATTAGATTTTAAGTGTTTAAAATTGATTTGTATTTTATATTGTAATATTATTAAATTTGTATACATTTTTATGACTAATGACTATTAAGACTATGAATTTAATAATCAAATAATTTTTTATGAGTTATCGAATTAACTTTTTTATAGTGTTACTGATGAAAATGTTATTTTAACATATTACATTTCGTTTATTTATTACAAATTATTATTTTACTAGATCTATTAAATTTAAAATAGTGATTCAAAATCATACAAATCAAATATTATTATGAATATTAATAAAGATATTTTTGTTTATTATATATTTTTTATGCAAGACGGATAGTTTTCTGTGAATACCAATTAAAACCTGTTTTGTCTTAAATAAATAAAAAAATGTGTTGTTTTTATTCCTTAATATTATGTATGGGTATGCAATTATATGATATATTTATTGCATTTTGTTGAAATTCGGTTTGGCTTGAATTCTCAAAATAAATAAAAATTATAAATTCATTTTTAATATGTAAATGTATGCCTATCAATGTATATATATGGTACTAACTCCCAAGAAAAAGTAAATATTACGTCATTTTAAAATTATATTTCAGTGTATTGATTAAAACCAATTTTGTTATATAATACTATAATAGTATAGTTGGATATTATTACATTAATCGTTCATGTATTCACGTTCATATTTTGTGAAAGATATGTAAACGTCACTCGTTTTTTTTTCAAATATGTAGAACGCGAACATGAACGACGTTTATATTTTTAATGAATTTGAATCATTTTTGGGAAGATCAAATTTATTTACCATTTTAAATAAGATATTAGTTAAAAATTTCTTATTTTAATTACTAGGTTTACTATTTTTTATTTTTATTTTTTAGTGCTTGTGAATAATTTTATTTTATTTTTTAAGGTCATGTTCATAAAAAGTTGGGACCTAAAAAACTGGTCCGTAATCTTAGTATGTAACTATACGGAATAGAAATTTATTATCCCTCTAAACTTTTAAAAATTTACCGCTCCTTTAAATTTTTTAAGCAGAACCAATAGGACCTAAATATGCCCTAACCCTAAATATGCTCTAACTCAAATATGCCCCTGTTTATATAGAACGTAGGTAAGTAATTCATAAAAAAAAAAAATAAAAAAATTAAATGAACTTGATAATTTTTTTATAGAACTTGAACGTGATATTATGATATTGGCGTAATACATGAAGTACCAATCTGATATTTTCACTACTACTTTTTCAGTAACAGTAGTAACTGCAATTGCTACTGAAAAAAATCATAGCCATTCATTCGATAAAAAAGTTTGTGGGTAACCACTATCCACATTATCACGGCTCATGTATTGCAATTAAGATAATGTTATTGGATATTTCAATATTTTTTGTTGAACCTACTTCGTTTTTTTTCATCTTCATTTTTGATATTTACTAATTTTATTAGACGCACAATGTAAACGCTACAAAAATAAATCAATTTTACTTCTAGCCTTTTGGGCCCTTAGAGTAATTACCACAGATAACATCTGATTCATCTTATCTGTGCTATTACTCTATTATTATATGTTGTATATACTCGTAATCTATAAAAAAAAAATAGATTAGCAATTAGTATAATTAGCAATACTATTACGGGAAATATGATAAAATATTTTATTTTTAATTATTATTGTTTTTAAAATGGAAAAAAATTTACCCAACCAAGTTTTTTATGTTTAAAAGTTTTAATTTAGAATTAAGAGAGCGGTAAATTCTAAATTAAAGGCTTCGAAAGTATTCTATCTTTTCTTTATACTACATTTAATATATTAAAGGGAATTAAATATTCTTTCTAAGTGGATCCACTGCTTCGTAGTGTTATAGTGCCCCGCTTCGTTTTCATCGCTTTATCTTCTACTCAGTAAAAAGCAATGTTTCCTTTCCTCTAACTAGTGAAACTCATACACCAGAGTAGTTCAGGCATCAGACTTCGGTATGTTGCCATAAAGTATCTTTTATGTAGTATCTACCGAACACTGAGCATTGCTTGTTATTACTTTTGTTGTGTGTAGATACCATGTCGCAATAATAACAATACATTAGAATTATTTGAATTTTACCTACAACTTTAAATTCTGTGTTCGCAGCAGTTTTTTTTATTTTTATTTTTGTTATAATTGTTTAATAATTGTCGATTACCAATATTTTTTCTAGTCTCTCTGTGTTTTGTAGTGAATTATAGAAATAATTTTGTTGCTTTATTGCGTTTTAAATCCGTGTACAACTGTTGTAGTATAAACACCTCTTCAAGGAAATCATTTTCTGATATGTTGCATAGGCAATATTTGCGATAGGTGTAAATCACTTTTTATCTCTCAATTAAAAAAAAAGAAGTCGTTTCATACTTAAACATTCTAAAATACTGTTTTAAAAATACATCATGTGGTCAAAAAGCAACGCAACTAAATTAAAGAATGAACCTTTAGGCAAGCGGGAGAAACAACAGCAACATATTAAAAATGAAAAGTTCAATGAAGCAAATGTAAAAACTGATTCTGGAATTGTATCAGATGTCAGTCAATCTTATGAATTATTTCCCAAGGAGAATAGTGATGATGATATCCAACCGTTAGTTAACAATCCTAAAGAAACAAAATTGAGCAGCACAGTGAATATTGATGATGATTCGGGCTGTGTAAGTGAATTAGATATCAATACTAAAGACATCTCTAAACAATTTCCAAAGAAAGAATATGATTGGAGGTTTAATTTTCAACAGGATGAATATGGAGACACGTATGTATATTATTTATATTTAACTGATAATATCAAATTTGATTGGAAAATAAGTAATATTAAAACCTACACCTACTTTCTACAAAATATAACAGTATAAAATATAAATGTTAATATTAACGGTTATAATAAAAATCTCTATTTTATCAAAAATCTGAACTTGTCAGGAATCTGCTAGATATGAAACATATTTCTTTCAAATTAAGTTTTATAATTTTATAATTTTTTCTGAAATACAGGGAACAAGGTCTGCAGTTTAATATATGACCTATAATCTTAATTATTTATTGAGAGTTTAAATGTATAAGTAAAGTTTTAGAAATTATTTAAATAGCTGTATGGAAAGCTGCATTTGTGCTAGATACCTTGGTTCTCCCTTTAAAAAGGGTGAATGGTTTAAAAATAATCTTTTTTTTTGTTTTAAACAAGAATCTTTTCCTTTCTAGATGTCCAATTATGTAGTGAAATGAGTTTGGTTAGAAATATTTTTATAAAATTATTACTTAACTACTATACATACAGTACTTACTATTTTGAACCATAATTAGTATTGAATTCAATAATTTTATGGGTAACACAAATAAATTGTAAAAAATAGTGATTATTAATAACATTAGTTATGTATACTATTATATGTATACCTTAAAGGTATAGGTGTGCGTATAGAAGTATGTCGAGGTCAGAGACTAATATATTTATGTATTTTATATTTATTATATATATTTTTTATGACAAGGGATGAATTTTTTTAAAATTATTGTACATTTTTAAAAAGGCTTTGAAGAACAAGACTACTGGTCTCTTTTTAATTAGTCTTTTAACTGTGTTTAGCATCTCTAATTTTGAAGTAAATTTGGCAGATAATAATTTTTTTAAATTTTAAAATGTATTTAGTTAATAATGTATTAGTTATGAAATAATATATACATTTCCTATATTATTACTTTCAGTAGGAAATATTCTTTGTTTTTAAGGTAATAAATTATGAAATAAGTCTTTACAATAACTTTTAGTCTACTAGTAAGCAATTATTAAGTATAAATATAAATAGTTGATATTTTTTACTCTAGTTACAGTTGTATAATTTATTAGGAGAAGAAAAATAATTGATTTCCTTTTGACCAGAATATAAATTACAACAGTATAACTATTATGTATAAATTTGAATTTGGACGATTATTTTTATCATATTCTTATTTGATAAATCCTAAGTTGATCATTGATTAAACAATAGTTAAATTAAATATTAATTTTAATTCTTTTTATTATTTTTTTAGAAATCTTCATCTTGCTATTCTTTGTGGATATGTTGAAGAGGCAAAACGGTTGATTGAAAATTGTCCAGAATCTAACCTACTTGATATTCAAAACTATGATGGACAAGTATGTGCATATATACATACAGTTATTCATAATTAAATATTATATTTATTTTATAAAACAGTTTATAAAATTGATTTTTTAAAAAAAATGTGATAAATTATATTTCCCATTAAAAAAATATTAAATTTATCTGAACATAATTTTTTAAATGATTTTATTTCATTGAATAAGATTTGAAATCACTAACTTGAAATATATATTAAAAGTAGCGAGTAAAATTAGTTAGTTAGTTTTTTTTACATTTAAATTATTTGTATGACCTTAGAATGTTTCAAAAAGGTATTAAAAATTATAAATAAATATGAGCAATTATTAAACTTTTAAAGCTGACCTTAATTGCTTCTAATTGTGTTTATGAATCATAGTTTAAGTTAAAGGTAACTGAAAAAATGTTATCACTACAGATAATTAATAAAATATTTTTATGTTAAGTTAATCAATTTATTTAAATCGTTATTTTCCAAATTAATGAATATTTAATATATTAAAATATGTATTTGACTAACTCTTTATTTATGTTTAAGACTAATATAGATATATTATTATTTATTTTTTTTTTTTACTGATTGAATATATAATTTTTTTAGAGTGCTCTTCATTTGGCTGTTTTGACCAATCAATGCGAAATAATTGAATCTCTAATGATTGCTAAAGCTAATGGAGAATTGTTAGATTATGATGGAAATACAGCAATTCATTTAGCCTGTTATAATGGATTTCTGGATTGTTTAAATACTTTATCTAAACATTTAACATTATCAAAAATGTTAGATATTATAAATTATGATGGTAAGTATTTTTAACAGCCATTAACCTAGTTATAACTTAACACTTTATTGTAGTTAATTCTAATAAAAATATTACATTATACTATACTTTTGTTTGAAATTACAATTGTGGTGATTTTTTTATTATTACAAATATTTCATAAATACTATAAGTATATAAACAAATATTATACATGAGTTTAATTTTAAGAAAATAAAAGAATAGCTATATACATCATGCATAAATAAATATATTTAATAATAAAATAGGTATTATAACAGTATTTTATTTATAACTTATTTTATCTGGCATATTTTGTTGTATGTTTAAAATTGTGATTGGCTAATATCCAATATTCTAAATTGTAGGTGTTATTTAATACCAGTTAATATTTTTAATTTATTTTTTAATAAAATATCATGTATACACTTTGTGATTTAATGAGTTGTATTAATATTCGTGTTAATAGGTTATGTGTTTAATTACTATAGGTATACTCTCCTAAAAATCATAGTTTTTATGAAATAAAAATTCTAGAATTATCATAATACAATTTATAATTTTTAGGGATATATTAAAATTGTTTTTATATTTTTATTTATTTAAGTACCCCACAAATATTAAATTTATTTCACTTGAAAGGAGGAAATAACTTTTAGCAGTAGGTAAAATATAATATATTATTGATATAATATATTGTCCTTGATCATTCCCCTACTTGGTTTTCAGATTTGGCCATGATTTTTGCAATGATGTCATGTGAATTTATGGAATGAATGAATTTAAATGTAATATGTTAAACATAATTGTAAATCTAAATATTTTTAACCGGAGTCATGTTATTCTTGAACAACAATTATTTTTTTAATTTAATTAATTATCCATCGTTTATTGATAATATGATTTTTTATCTTTTGACAATTATTAATATTAGTTTCTTAGTTTCTTATTATATTTTAAAATAAAATATTAATTTTTTATTACCTATGGAAGTAATTTGCTAATTATAAAATTTTTTATTTAAAATAAAGTATAACTTAACTATAAAAAGGAATTGATTTAATTTTTTTAGAATTGTTAAAATTGTAGACTATATTATATGAATAATATTGTGAACAAATTATATTCTTATTTATTTTGAATATTTATAAATTGATATTACTTAGGACTGATGTTAACTCTATTGTTAATGTTTTGTAAGTGTTAATGTTTTTTTTATTATTTGATTGTACATTAACATACTAAAACTAATTTTTTAAGTGTCGTTTTTTGCTATCTAACCAATATATATTAAAGGTTAGTTGAGTTAAGTTTTTAAATAAAAATAAAGTACTTTTTGGTTTGGTAAATAAGAACATTTTAAATCAATATAAAGTTTGGAATCTCAAGTAAAATTATTGTATATTTTAGTTATGAAAATCTCACTATTAAGGTTTTGTGGGCTTTTAAAATTATCATTATTTTAGCCAGATGGATTTCTTATTTTTTTTTTTTAGAATTATAAGTGTTAATTATTGTTCTTATTATCAATATTTTAAGATTTTTAATAAGACATAATCGTATTTAAAATTATAAAAGAGATTTATAATTTGAAACATTTAAAAAATAATATATATTTATCATACTTAAAAAGCAATAAAATATTAGTATTGGTACATACACTAATTATATTTGATTTGGATTTAAAACAAAAATACATTTTTCTTTTTGTTTCAGGATTAGCTTGTATTCATATTGCAACAATTGCTGATCATTTAAATATACTAAAATTTGTAGTTGATCGCTCAAAAAATGTTAATATCACAGTAAGTATAAAATATTTTTTTCAGTGATTAATATATTATGTGACAAATATTCATGAATTTAAAAATAAGCTAATCATAATTTGAAAATAAAATAGTCAAATACCTAGTTCTTTTGGCCTTTTTTTATAAGATAGTGTTTGTAATTGTTTATTTTATCTATATATTAATTATTAGTGCAATAAAAACTAAATCATTAAAAAATTTTTTTGTAAAAACTCATTTAAAATTATTTATTATACACAATTTTTAGTAACTATTATATATTTGGAAATTAAAAATAGGTAATTACAAAAGGCTAGTGTTTTTACTGTTATATAATTTGAATAAGTTTTGAAAAGTAATTAGAAAAAATCTACATTCTAAATTCTAAAATTGTAGGAATTACCTAACAATTAATTGATATAAAAATAATAAATTTTCAATGAATTTAATTATTGATAATTTATGGACATTTGTAATAAATGTATATGTTTATTTTTAGGATTATAAAAGTGGATTCACTGCATTACATTTTGCTAAAGCTCTGAACAGAAAAAACCTTATTGAATATTTATTAGAAAAAGTAGATTCAAGTATTGAAAGTTATGCTGGAAGGTTGGCATATGAAATTGACGATGATTATGATTATGATGATGATGAAGATGAAGATGATGAAGAGGAAGTATGTATATTTGTATGTTTATTACATAATATTTATGTTTGATAATAATTTTTAAACTTTGATTACAGTCTGGTGATCTTGTTAATTCAATGAGTGTGCTTCAGTTACCTATTAATAATTCAGTCAAATGTTGATGAATAAATCTAAAATTCCTGATGTACCTATTTGTATGCATTATTTTTGTTATATCATAGATCCAGTTAAACACATCTGATAATGTTTGCATTAACATTTTTAAAGTGCAGAACATTGTCTTAAATTAGTTTATAGTTAACAAATTATGAATGTAAAATTTAATATTTCTAAATTATTGATTTTTTTCCTTTTTATGTTAGTTATTAAAAGTTTGTATTTGATATGCATATTAACTTTTTTAATTGTTGGAAATGTCTAGTGGATTATGAATGAAAAATTTATTTTTATAAAATCATTTGTTTATTTTTAAATCTTTTTTTTTTTTTTATATAAATAAATGTAATTTTTATGTTTAAAAACTTCGAATTATTGAATAGTGTAGTAATAAAATGTATAAAAATATGACAAGACAATTTTAAATAAAATATCTTATAAAATGAAATGTATTTATATTTGTATTAATATCCTTCTTTATAAATATCATTTGAATTTTTTATGCGGACGCCATACAGTTTGAGTTTTAATAACTACAGTACTCAACTGAATAATGTGTTTGCACAACTTTTTGTAACAAAATGAGATATAAATTATATCAGTATATAATAAATCTTAATTACAATTGATGTTTTACATATAATTTAGTTATAAATTATTGTTGTCAATCAATTTTTTTTACTAACTTATTTGATCGATAGTATTCAAAATGGTATAATATCCTCATATCTCCAGCTTGTATTATCCTAGCTCGTATTGCTGATTCTTAGATTGAAAGGTGCTGAAGTACAACTCAGATGTGAACTACAAATCAATACTATATAAATGTAGGTTAATTTTAAATCAATCAAAAATTAAAATACTTATAGTTAGAATGTTTGAATATTAATTGAGAGTAATTATATAAAATTGATTTAAAATGTTTTTAATTTTATAATTTATAAAGAGTATATAATTATTGGTTTATTTTAATCATAATATTAAAAAGTATTAAGATATTTATATATATATTGAAATATTTTGAGTAAGAAACTACAAACAAAAAAATACAATTAGAAATGTTGCTATTGAAATAAATGCTGTGATAAAAAAAATGAGAAATAATAGAAATGAAAAATCATTTGATGTCTAATAGAATAATGTGATAGTTTTCAGTAAAACATAATACTGATGTTTCACTTAATGCACCTGGTTAGTAAAAAAGTAAAAAATTAAAATGGAAATCAGAGTTAGAAGTTAGTTTTCCTAAAATGTGATAACGTAAACAGTTTCAGGTGCTTATACTAATAAAAAAAAAAATAAAATAAAATAAAAAATAAATTCAAGTTTTTAGTTGAAGCTTTCACGTTTTCCACATTTAAACCATGAGGAAATCAAGTTGTAATATATAAAAATTAAAAATTAATAGTCATGATATATTAAAAAAAATAAATAAATAACAGTGTCACCAATCATGAAATGGCGTTTCAACACCTAACATTGGTTGCACTGGCCGGTGATTGTTCTTCAAGACACTTCTAGAATATTCTCCGACAATTGTTTAGAATTCAATTTCGACGTTCAGTCTGTTCAACATTTGATTTTTGATCTCGAATTAGTACTACGATTCTCGTGGGCTATAAGAATCACTATTTCTTTTTTTATGTTTTATTTTTGATTCAATCTTTCAACTTCATTCTTGTATTGCGTTGACTTTACGGACTGTAACATCAAAGTTATGGTAAGTACTGTAATTTGTTAAATTTAAATCGGTAACCCTACTCAAATATAAATACACCCACTTTTTTTTTTATGTTGATTTTTAATATCTTACCAGTACAAATTAAAGTTTTTGTATATATAATACTAGTTTTTTATGACTGAGACAAATTATTTTACAATCTATTGGGTTGTCTCATTCATGAATATCTATCACACATGTGCTTTAAATATTTTTATTTATTTTTTGTTATGTTAATGTTAAGGCATTAGATTTAAAAGAAAAAGGCAATGCTGCATTGTCAGCTGGAAATTATGAACAAGCTATTGAATATTATACTGAAGCCATTGCAATAGATCCCAATAATCATGTACTTTTTAGTAATCGATCAGCTGCATATGCCAAGCAAGGGCAATATCTAAAAGCATTAGAAGATGCTGAAAAGACCGTGGCTATTAAACCCGATTGGCCTAAAGTTAGTTGGATTGATTGATTGATTGATTGATATAATTATGAGGCTTTCATAATTGAAGTGCTATTTTTTTCGTTTTAGGGATACTCGAGAAAGGGAGCAGCTCTGGTATTCTTAGGTAAGAAAAATGAAGCAATTGCTGCATATGAAGAGGGGCTGAAGTATGATCCTAACAACCAGCAGTTGCTTGACTGTTTAAGAGATGTAGAAATGTCAAGAGAGAATCCTTTTGGACCAAGTAGTAGTTTTCCTATGGAAGCATTTATGAAACTTGCTAAAGATCCTAGAACTAAAGATTTTATCAAAGATCCAAAGTTCATGACTTTACTAATGGAATGTCAAAGAGATCCTCAAAAGTTAATGTAAGTTATTATATAGTTACAATGTTGGTCTTAAATTTGTTTTTTTTTTCCATCCTTAGATTTGTTCAATGATTTTGATAGATCTCCACTGGTCTCTATCCAATCATACTACTCTTAATTCTTTGTATTTATTTTTTCCTATATCTTCTATGATTTGTTTCATAAATAGTTTTTTTGGTCTACCTTTTCCAGTTTTTACGTCTATATTTCCTTCTATCATTGTTTCATTGTTTCTTATATGTCCAATTCATTACATTTGTTAATACACATTTTATTAATTTGTTTTGATTCTAATTCATAACATTAAGTATTGTTGTTTTATTTGTACAATTGAAGTGATCTTGTATATATTTTTTCTATTTATATGCATAAATTATTAATTTATTCTTAAATTTTTATTTTATTTGTAAGTACTTTTTTCATTTAGTAGGACTCCTGATACTTGTTTATTTAATCATTTTGGTACCCGGAAGTGCAATTAATGGGTACCTTTTATTGTTAAATTACTTAAGTATAGTTAAACTCGTTCACTGCCACCGCTGATTACAGATCGGCGCTAGTAGTAGCGTGCTTATGGCCGCCGCCGATCCGTGATCGTCACTAGTTTTTATATTTAGATATGTTTATAAATAATTCGGCTATAGAAACACTGCTTCAATATTTATCATGGCCATTCAGAACGTATTAATAAACAATGCTTTGCAGTTGGTTTTGTGTTTCCTGTGTATTTTCGTTAAACTATATTGAAAACAACTACAGTACCCTTGCAATTTGCACGCTTTTGTTTTTCTAGACATATTATTCTTTTATAATTCGTATTCTATATTTTAGTATATATTTAATTTATATTATAATAACATGGATCTTCCTGCCGGTCCATCAAGAGTTGATCGCTCTCGAAGTCCCATCAAAAGCATGAAAACACACATATTATCGGCACACATAATATGTTATCAACAGTTATGCAGCGTGTGACACTAGACTAGGAATATACTTGCGGGGGTGAATGTATTAAGGAGAAATAAACAATATTGATTTTACATTTTTCTTTTTTTGGAAAACCTGGGTATTTGAATCAACAGGTATTACTTGGTAGGTTTTAGAGCCTTAACATATTGTAATATTAAATAATACAATAGAAGGTTTGATTCTCTTTTTAAGTTTATGCATCTGCTTTTATCAACAGATAACTTTAAATCTAAGTGCTGTTGAGTCTTAATAAATTATTTGTGTTAACTAAAATTACCATTATTAATTTGATACTTGAGGTATAATATCTAATCATACAAAAATTTAAAATTGCATATATTATTTTATTTTTTAATTTGGCTAAATTTATTATTTAACTACTTAATTTGATGTAATTTTAGAATGCACATGCAAGATCCTAGAATTTCCGCAGCATTAAGTGTTATTATGGGAATCAATTTAATGGGAGATGATGAAAAAATGGAAACTGAACCATCATATACATCTCCTCCTGAACCGAAAAAAGAATGCAAGAAAGAACCTTCACCTCCTCCACAAAAAAATGAAGATGAAGGATTAACAGAAGAACAAAAAGAGGCAATTAAGCGTTTATACTTGTTTATACTTAATTTTTTCTCAGTCTAGGTAATGCTTTTATTTTTATAAAATAGTTTTATATTGAATTATATATTTTGTTATTAGTTAAGGTTTTTTGTTAAATTATTAATTTATCATTTTTATTTTTGTTTTGTTTAGGCAAAAAAAGAAAAGGATTTAGGCAACGAAGAATATAAAAAGAAGAACTTTGATGCAGCACTTACACATTACAATAAAGCTATTGAGTTAGAACCTACAAACATGACATTTTACAATAATGTGGCTGGTACAAAGATACTATTTTCAATATTATGCAATATAAGAATTATTGTTGCAGTTATTTTTTTAAATAAATTTATTTTTTTTATTAGCTTTTTATAATCTAGCTCAACGAAAAAATAAACCTTAATGATAAATTAACAAATCCTAGAGAACAGCATGAATTTTAATCAAATTTTTTTACATTATAATCATTGATTTTTATTAATAACTTAATTTTGTTTAGCTGTTTATTTTGAACAAAAGGAATATAAAAAATGTATTGAGCAATGTGAAAAAGCAGTTGAAGTTGGTCGAGAAAATAGAGCAGATTTCAAATTAATTGCTAAAGCTTTCTCTAGAATTGGAAATGCTTATAAAAAACTAGAGGTTAGAATTTTTAATTAAAAATATTTCTTAAAAATAATTAATCAATTTACTTTTTTTAATTTGATTATTATTTAGGATTATAAAAGTGCTAAAACATATTTTGAAAAATCTATGTCTGAACACAGAACTCCAGAAGTCAAGACTATTATTACTCAATTAGAAAAAAAAATAAAAGAAGATGAACGTAAAGCATATGTTGATCCAGTAAAAGCTGAAGAAGCTAAAGAAAAAGGAAATGAATTTTTCAATAAAGGTAATTTTTGATACGGTTTATATTTATATGTATGTTTAATAATTACAAGGGATAAGTCAAAAAAAAAAAAAATTCACTCTGGTGGTGTCTTGTTAAGTTTAATCTTGATAAGTTATATATTTTTTTTTTTTTTTTATAGGTCAGTTTGCTGATGCTGTTAAATATTATAGTGAAGCCATTATGCGTAATCCTGATGAGCCTAAATATTACAGCAATCGGGCTGCATGTTATACCAAATTAGCAGCTTTTGATTTGGGGTTGAAAGACTGTGAAACATGTGTTCAGTTGGATCCTAAATTTTGTACGATTTTATTTATTATTAAGTATTTTATATTGGAGTCTAACTTAATTTTTATTTTTATAGTGAAAGGATGGATAAGAAAAGGTAAGATCTTACAGGGTATGCAGCAATCTTCTAAAGCATTATCAGCTTATCAAAAAGCTTTGGAAATCGATGCATCTAATACTGTGAGTTAAATACATTTTCAAATACTTGCAATTCAGATATTTCATTTTTATATTTATTAATTTTTCTTTGTAGGAAGCCTTAGAAGGTTATCGAGCCTGTTCTATAGCAGCCAATTCAGACCCTGAAGAAATGCGTAAGCGTGCAATGGCTGATCCTGAAGTTCAAGATATTATTAGAGATCCTGCAATGCGTTTAATTCTTGAACAAATGCAGAATGATCCTAAAGCTTTGAGCGAGTAAGTTAATTAAATATCAGTAGTTATAGGTATCGTAATTGTTAACAACTTTGTTACATAAAAAAAAATTTTTTTCAGTCATTTGAAAAATCCAGAAATTGCTAGTAAAATCCAAAAATTGATAGAATCTGGTTTAATCGCTATTCGTTGAATTTGATGATGGAGAATGGTCACAGTTGTTCCACATTTTAAAAGCATCTTACGCTACTTTCAATGCTTTTTTTTTATAATTGTATATTATTTTTTTTTCCAATATAAAATTAGACATGAAAATAATTAAACTATAAAATATTTAAGCATACAATTTTTATGTCATAAATATATTACTAGGTTAATTTTAAAACTGTTTAAAATATTTTTCAATTTTTATACAATGTTCTTTTTACATGTAACCCTGAGTTTTGTGTTGATATTGGTGTAAAGAGTTGAAGATTTGAATATGATTGGGTATGTTCGAATAAAAATGAAGTTAACCATGAACTGGTTAGTATAATATTTCTGATTCTATGTTTTAAATTTGTGTTAGTAATTCCAATAACATAATGAAATAAATTAATAAGTATTTTTTTTATTCTTAATATGTTATGTTTATAACTCTTAATTAAATATTAATGAAAAAATTGTACCATAATATTTCTGATTTATTTTAGGAAACTTAAATATAAGTTAAATGTAGGTTAACATACTTGACCCGGACGTCGTTCAATTATGATAATGCAAAATACCTAATTCCATGAATTCTTCGTATTTATTCTAACATTAAATAGTTACTTTTGTCTCCCAAATGTCAATCATTTGTATACCTTATTAGTATGCGCTCAACCCTGGATTATTTATTACGCTTGGCTTTGTGTACTCTGTATTTCGCAGAATCACTTTTTACATAGGTTATATACCACTGTGTGCTTTGTATTTACCATATTGTTATTTGGAAAACGCCAATATTCCTTTAGCCATTACAACCGCACTACTGGTGCCTATTATAAGTTATTCTAATTAATATTAATCATGTGGCATGTGGTCCACCATATAATGATACTTGTAAGGACCTACATCAACGTATGTCCGTAATACTAGAATTTTTTTTCCAAGTGGCAAATATTTTTTTTACATGGGCTAAGGTTTTTTTTTAGCAAATAGTGAGGTCATTTAAATAAAATGAATATTTTCGTATCATATAATGTAATATAGCTATTATTATTTGCGTGATATACTACCACAATTATATGAAAATGAACAAATTTTAATCATAACTAAAATAAATATTTACAATTCAGTCTATCTAAAGAAAACTTAAAACACGAGTCTTCGAAATACGAAAGTATTGACATAAATTACAAATGTTTAAAAACTATAAATTTCATAAATTTTTTATTGTAGCTTTTTTAAAAATAATGTTATACGACTATTATATCAAACATATTTTTCAGTGGGGGGGGGGGGAGATTTACAAACTAAACTTATACATGACTCAACAAATCTTCGGCTCTTGAGTGTTGTAATCATAGATATATTAATATATGATCATAATATGATTGTTATAACAGTGTTAATACAGGGTGAGTGCGTAATAAATATCTATTGTAATTTGTAAATGTGTACGTATCATAATAGGGACCGGTCCAATGTGTGATATACCGATTAGTGGCTGGTCCAGTGTGTGATCTATCGATAAATGGCTTGTTTAATGTGTGATTAATTTGTGATTGTTTATGTTCCTATAATGCTGCTTATTATATTTATACTGCAAAAGTCGTCAAATATTTAAGTTAGTATCGGGTGGCAGCCACCATTTTACTTGACGGTCTAATGCACAGCTAACTTTTATATTATACTTGAAGTTGACTTATTACCTCAATGACTATTGTTTTAGTATGAGCTACAGTAATTGGATCTAGTGATGGGTGTAATCGATATTTACAATCGAGATATCTCGATTATCAAAATAATTCGATTATTACCCGAGAGATTATTTCGAGTGATAACTTTATTTTAAAAACAATGAATTCTTGATCTCGAAATGTGTGTCGGATGAAACAATATTTCGAATGATTTTCATCGAAAGAAGGACCGAGGGAGGAATACTATTTTTAATCTTCATAATCGAATAAGTAAATACTAGTTCACTTTGATTCTTTGTATTTTTGACTCGTGCTACTCGTAGGACTGGTTGTTAAGGTGCGTATACATTACGGTCGCGAACGCGAATGAACACGAACGAACGCGAATTCGGTAAAGATTCGACCCCACCGTGCAGACTATTCGTTCGTGTTCGTTCTTCAGCATTCATCAGCATTTGCTTGCCTTCGCTCGGAATTTGAGTTTCAAAATACTGTTTAGTATAACACGGGGTCCTACTTGAGCGAACTCAACGCGAACGCGAAGTGACGCGAAAATTACAAACAATTGCCTTCGCCGAAAGTGGCCTACGTGGTCAAACGCACTCAAAGCGCGAAGCGATGTGTTGCGGCACGATGCGATCGCGATCAAATAGTTTGATATTTTCGCGCGTATAGTCGCGTCTGAACGTGTCGGAACATGTTTGAACGAGTAGTGACATAATAATCCGACGATATTTTATATGACAACTTATTTTATTTTATATTATTATTTTATGGACCATCACGAACACTAGTCCAAAAATAATGTTGATTTCATTTCTTTGTCGTAGGTGGTGTTTCTTCATGAGTTTGTACTTAAGGTACGAATTTTCCATTAAAAACCCTTTTCGTACGTCCATGATCAATGTACTATTGAATGTACTAATTATTATGTAATTACTTTCTTGGTGTGTTGGTTAAACAAGGTAAGGTTAAAAAAAATTTTTAAATGACAAAACTGTGTTTGTAGTTTGTACGCGAGTGCCGACTTTCGACCGACTGATCGACCGCGGGTCGTCGCGGAAGATCGGTGGTGCACGTAGGACAATGTTACCGCATCGCGTCACAATCTTCCCGATTTTGTACCTTTTCTTCCCAATTTGATATCCCTAGTTTCTCTAAATCCTGCTTTATACCATCTATCCATCGCTTCTTTGGCCGTCCACTTGGTCTCTTTCCCGTGGGTTTCCATTTGGCCGCCACTTTAAGGTAATCAGAGTTTGACCTTCTCATCACGTGTCCAAACCATTTTATTCTTTGTGCTTTTACAAAGTTGATTATCTTTGGTACTCCTGTCAAGTCTCGGATCTCTTTGTTTATTCTTTTGCGCCAACACCCTATGTCGTTGTCATATACTGGGCCGCAGATGATTCTAAGTATTTTGTTTTCGAACGACATAAGTTTTTGTTCCATTTTGTTTGTTAAAGGCCATATCTCACATCCATATGTTAGTGTTGGTCTAATTATCGCCGTGAAAAGATGTGCTAACATAGAGAACATTAGATAACCATTATTAAGAATAATTATTAAATTAAAATAATTTTTACAATATAACAGAAGCGGGTAGCCACATAATAACCAAGGTATACCGAGAAATTTTCCGGCATCCCGGTGAGCTACCCTGGTAGACATAGATATGCAACCAAGAATACAGTATTGTTTCAAGTAAATACATCTCACTATAGACGGTTTAGAGTTTTAATATATTTCAATGAAATCCTAGGATATATATAAGTTATACTTAAAATTTCTAGTCAGTCTTTGTAATAAATCTAAAGATTAAAAAAATAATGTTTTACAAGTTTAAAACAAAAATGTATATGAATATAATCTTTGAGTATTAATATGCGTAACATTTTTAAACTCTTAACTTGTAACAATAAACTTATAAGTAAATATTGTATTTTATATTATAATTTTAACTCTGGTACGAAAAAAAAAAGAAAAATATAAGAACCCATAAAGTTCAAGCTTTCTTAAAGGTATTGGAGGGTACATATATTTCTTACAACATGCATTCAATTATGTATAGCTGAGTAGTTAATTATAAGCAATACATCTTCGTTCAGTCTTAAATTTGATTATTTTTATCTTCCATTCGTGAAATCAATATTGTAAAAGTCATTTGAATTTTGATTGAATTTGATTTTTCTAAAAAATAAAACAAATCAATATATTTGTTTTCAATAAGCTATTAAATTTTAAATTAATTAAATTAGACAAATAATAATAATTACCAGTCCTTCTAGTGATTTCTTGTTTGTCCTAACTAGTTGTTGTCTTTCTTTTGTTCTTCTTTTACTTTCCAAAAGCCTGAAAATAGGAATTTTTAAAATAATCAAAATTCAACTCAATATTGAATCTAAATTAAAATGATTACTTTTCTTTGACGATTCGTTGTTGTTCCATGTTCCAAAAATCTTTAAAGTCCGTACAAAATGGTAACCATAATGGGAAGAAATCTTTTGGCGCGACTTCTAAAAGACTTTTACTGGTTTTTGGTTGGAACTGATAAAATCGCATTAGTTTAATAAATCTATAAAAAAAATTGGGCGTTACCGTTTTATTTATCCTAGATCTTTTACAAGAAATTCCTTACAGCTTTTTACTTTCTTCTAAATTCTCGTGTTCATTTTCTAACTGTCTGTGTGCTGTAAAAATATACACGAATCTTTTTTATACTTTTTGCTAAGGTCTCTATATTTATATTTAGAAAATTTCAAAAATGTTTTTGAATTTATTGAAATTTGATTAATCTATATTGATGATTTATTTATAGAATTTAATAGAATTAGCTCTTATAGAAAATTCAAAATTAAAAACAGAAATAAACGTTGGTGTTATTTATAAATTATACATAAGTCATGATAATACAACTATGACATACCCATTGAAAAAAATGATTCCATTTTTGTTTTAAATGGTTCCAAGCTGTCATAAGCAGACGACAGTATTACATTGTCAGCTTTTTTTTTGCAACCTAATCAAATTAATAAAACACACAAGTTGAACATTTGAAATAATTATTTACGAATAAATAACATTATCACTAACCTGCTAGTTTTATTTTTAGTTCTTTAAGACCTTGATGCAAATCGTCAAAAGTTACATGTGCTGCTCGATCAACATCACTTGGCTCCGGTACAGGCAGCGTGGCCTTCATAGGTTCTTTACATTCGTAAATGTATGTTCGTACAATAAAATGCAACAAAGTCATAGAGTTGTCTACAAATATATAATCGGTAGATATTTATTATTAGTCGAATCTTACTTATACTTAACTGGAAAGTTAGAAAGGCTTTTTCCTTGATTTCCCCAATGAAAATTATACTGTCAGTGAAATCCTGTTTTTTCTAATAAAATTACTTACTAATGTTTTTAAATAATTTTATAATATATAAATAAAAAGAATAATGTCTATTAATTCTGATATATGATTTTTGTAAAATCTTTTAAAATTTTTAAAATAGATTTAAAGCATAACAATTGAGCTTAAATTGGTGCATTCATTAAAAAATATTTTCTTCATTTTTGATATTAAAATTATGTTCGATAGTTAAAATTACATAGTTATACGTATAACTAAAATAAACATTTATTTTGAATTTTATACATGAATTGTTTCAATATCATAATTACAACCGATATTTTAAGTTATCGGAAAAAAAAAAGGAATAATATAAGATATGGTGATATACAAAAGAAAGAAAACATTATTATTTTAGCCAAATAGCATATTATTGAAATATTAGCATATTATATTTATATTTTAAATTATGAAAAAATATAAATGGGAGAAATGTGTAGTAGTATATTAACTCAATATTATGAATATCAGATGCGTTCTGTATTAGATATTATTTAAATAATTATATATTAAAAGTCGAGAATATGTATACAAGTAAATTATATTAAACTGTCTATTTATGTTTTATTCACCTTTGCTTTTGACATCTCTGAGTTTAGGTAAAATTTCCAAACCGAATCCGTCTGCCTGACCACGTTGCCTATTGCCTCCATTCATATAATTCCCCAATGCTAATATAATGGACAATACTTTCTTTAAACTTTCGGATGTCATTAAAAACTGTGCAATAATACAAATCAGAACAATAAATTATCTATAATATTAATGTTTTGTTTTATGATATTTACCCCTGATGTGGCCTTCATGTTATTTAATTTGCTTGCTATGTTGTTCAAGGCATCATTGAAATCAGATTGGAATATTAAACATGCTACGCGCTCGCCAAAATGTGGTATTTCACTGAGTTCCAATAAGAATTGTTCAGGTTTGTCGAGTGGCTGGTCTGGATGGGATGCCACATGACTTTTAATTAAAGCCAATTCTTCCTCTGTAGCCGCCTATAATAACACATGTAAAATGATATATTTGACTAGATTTAAATTTAATATTTAATTTAATTACTAACCACTTCGTAAATTTGTTGAAGAACTTCAACGCTAACTACAGATGTATCAAAATTATAAAGAGCTAAAAAAATAAAAATATATTAATTTATCTAAACTTAATGTTTATTCGAATTATATTTACCGTTTTCAATTTCGGAAAAATCTAAGTGTAAACTTTGAGCTAGAATCCCAACGTTTCGGGATCTTTTAGTGTCCAACAATTGTTTAAATTCCTAAACAATTACTTATATAAAAGTTATGAAATATAAAAATATAATTTTAACTTCAGACTCACCTCTATTTTTTTTTTATGTTGCACTTTTTTTTTCGCAACTTTTTGTTCAACTGCTTGCCTGGAGAAAAGTTGTGAAAATTCATTGATATTTGGTATGGGAGCTTCTTCTAAATCACTCCATAACGGTTTTAAGCTATAAAATATTCACATTAAGTTTTCTGAAAATAAAACATTTTCTACATTTATATTTACCTATCTGGTGAATCCGGGGTAGTTGGTGTAAGTGTTTCAACAGTTGGTTCTTTAATAATTACTCTAGTCCAATATAAAGGTCTCATTGGTACTGGTGGTGTTATTGGTTTTTTACGTAGTACTGTAAAAATTATAAATATGTTTAAGTTGTAATTATAAGTTTTATTAAAATAAATACTCACAATCTCGTTGAGCATTCCAGCCTCCGATTGGTGGAGCAGGGAATGGCGTGGGGGCAGTTATTGGTGGTGGGGGTGGTGGGGGTCCATTGATTGCAGCTGATTTATTAAATAATGGAGGTGGTGATAGTATACCACTAGACGAATTGTTTATATTAGATGGTGATGGAGGTATATAATTACCTAAAGGAGGAGGAGGAATAGTACTTACAGATAATTGTGGTAGTGGGGGAGGAGGAGGTGGAGGAGGTATTAAATTCTCAGTTGGTTTTGAAGGAAGATGAATAATACTCCCAGGTAACTGTGGAGGAGGTGAAGGAGGAAGATCACTTACAGATAGTTGTGGTGGTAGAGGCGGTGGTGGTGGTGGCGGCGGCGGCGGTGGTGGTGGTGGTGGTGGTGGTGGAGAAGTACATGGAAGTGAAATGCTGGTATCAGAAATAGGAAAAGGTGGTGGAGGAGGAACAGTAATTTCTGATTTTAGCAAAGTTGATGTGTTTGGGATGTTACTATTAGAAAAAAACGATTTAGTATTTTCTTTCGTCTTTGATTGAAGGCTTTTGGTTTCAACAAATGCTGGTGTAATGATATCAGGCAGTGTTTGCTTCTGGAGAATATCATCAGTTTCGTTTGAAGTAAAAGAGTTCACCGAAAAATCACATTTTATAGCTTCTATGGCAACTTCAGGAGAACTCAATAATGATTCAGCACTATGAATAACAGTACTAATATCACTTTGATCCAAAATTGGCGATAGATCACTAAAGGCGACCTTATTAATAGAGGATGCTTTTGGTGTAGTTGTTATTGGAGATATAATACTATTGTACGTTGCATCATTTGCACCGACTGGAGTATAAAATAAAGAATCATCGTCACCATTAGTACTAGTTGTTGAAGTAGGAGAATCTTTGAAATTATTTTTAGGTGTTGATGAGATGGATATACTTCTAGTCGGAGAATGTGCGCCATTAACTTTTTTCAAGACATTTTCATCGGGTATGTTTCCATTTATTTGTCTATCCGAAATATTTAACTGGTCTATTGATAGAGCCGAAAATTTATCGGATAATGAGGATAGTGACTTTTTTCGTCTGATTGACAAAGTTGTCGGCTTAGGAGTTTTAACTGGCGTATAATCAGATATATTTTCAATATCTGGCATATTTTCTTTATGAATTGATCCTATACCGTTTTTAAGTGGTGCCTAAAATAATTAAATATACAAATGAACTTTAATTACGGTCTAATAAACTATATAGTAAATACATTTTTAAAAATATATTAAAGCCAAAGAAATATTTAACCGTAGAATATTTCAAAAACGATTATACAATATTACCTGTTTCGAAACCGTTTTGTTTTGAATTTCTTGTAGTTCTTCTGATTTTGAATACGCTTGAAGCGTTTGCCCATCTTTACCATTTTCAACACCTTTAATACATTATTGTATACAAATAAATTAATGATTACTACATATTCATAAAATATTCTATGCTAAAAAAAAAAAAAAATATGAGTACCTGAACATTTGTCCGTTAACCATGATGATTGGCTAATTCGTTTGGGTGACGATGATGTAGAGTTGATCAGTTCAGAATGAGCCCAGTAATACATGAGGTCAGACTAAACATAAACACAAACATATATTTAATTAGTATTATAGTTACGTATGGGTTTGCAAAGACCACTTGTAGGTGGGATTATGTAGTCACAATATTATGTTACAATATTATATTTTACTATTGTTAGAATACAAAAAGGTTGAGTTTATTTTAGTGACACGTAAATAATATAGACTTGTGGGTTGTCATTTGTACATATTAATAACATTTTATGATTAACACCCACGGGCATCTTGAGTATAGGTTCAGTATTATTTCTACTTTTTATAGTTATCTACCTTAAAATTGTTACAGATGAGTGTGAAAAAAATAATGAGTTTATTCTAAAGACTATAAAAGAATAAAATAAAATAATACAAAAACAAAATCATAAATATTTGAAAATATTAAATAATAATTAATGTTTTAAAATAAAATGCTCAGAAATTGAACAGTTCCACATCATATTAGGTGACTGCTATGCTTCATAATGTCCATATTATTTTGAAATCATTATATTTATTCTCTACATTTTAAACTTCAGTGCTGTAAATTTATGATCACCATAAAGTAATATAATGTAAATAATAAAAATTATAATTTTTTTAAGTTGTAATCTAGATATTTGGGTAGGTTTTCTAAACGGGCATAATTTAGATGTTATTAATTTTTATTACCTAAGTAACAGTACTTCGAGATTGAGATTATCTAAAACGAAAGTCTATTAATTTGTATAGTATATATAAGTAACTTGTATAAAAAAGGCTCGTATTTATACATAAATGAAAATAATATGAAAGATTTACTAAGATTTACATTGAAATAAAATATTCTGAATGCCCAATAAAAATTCAAAATATAATAGTTCAAACATTGATTTTTAATGGTTTTCTATGATAAGAATCCTATTTTTTTTACGATGTTAAAATGTATTTTATTATTACAATAGCCTAGTAGATTAAAATATAACAATTTGAAAGATTCATTTATACCATGTAAGGTATGTTTATACCTAAGTAAAATCTTAAGTAATTACAATATTGTTAATAAGGCATAACAATTGTTAATAATAAGAAAATAAAATAGCTATTTCTTTTGTTTTGTTTTATTAATATTTTAAAATTTTTTAAACGAATTCGATTAAAAAAAATTAGTTATGGCAGATATTTAAAAAATGCGATTATTCATAAATTATTTAATTGGGACAGTATTTGAAAATGTCGTTGGAATATTTCAGATATTCTACCTTCAAGACACTTAATGTTTTACGTAAATTAATCCAACATAAATTAAATACTTCTCCACATAAAATTGTATACTTAGCTTTATTTATTTTATGTTAAATTTTAATTTACTAATAAACTTTTATACTACATAAATATATATATATATATATATATATATATTTATACTTTAAAGAGAGGGCAACTAGAAAATACCATATACCTATAATTTATAGTGCTTGAACAGTATTAAGTTATGTAGGCGTTTAGTAAATAAATATAATCAGCGCCATTAACCAATTTGTTCTAAGAAAAAATTGTATGTAAGGGATAGCGAAACAGATGATAAATATTCTATATACCATGTATGCCTGTAGTTCATTTGTGAGTAATATATTTTATTAGACATTTTGCCGTCTACCTATTAATGTATTAACAATATTCATATACTTCTTAAAGGTAAACCAACATGCTTATATATTTATTTAAAATCTTCATAACGATTATGTAACGATCTACACGATGGTTATTATGAATACGATCGTATACGCGGGTATAAAATAATATAGCTACCTACGCCGAATTCGAAATCTCTTATTATACCGTACCTGCATTTTTAACTCGTAAATATGCTAATATACCCGTAAATAATTACAGCGGTAGTTGGGCGTGTGTGTACTGCGCATAGGTTACTTGTATAAGTTATGCGCTTTTATTATGAGCTACGTACACGCATCATTCATATACGCGTATACGTGCGTATAAAAAAAGTTACAAACTTTTTGACCTACATTATTGGAAAAAAGGGCTTTACAAATACCTAACGTACAGCTATTAATAACAAATATATTGTTGTAGACGCGCTTGACTTACTTTAAACAAATCGCTGACCACCGCATCCTTATCGCGTATCTGTTTGATGACGCCGGCGGTCATCAGATCCGTGCATATCTGCGGCAAAAGTAACCGGGCATCCCTGCGTTGTTCCTCCGTGCTGAATGATGAAACCAGCCAGTTCACTAGCACTTGACCTGCGTACACACAAAACAATGTAAACGTACGAACAATTTATTAAATTCGGCTTTATTAGATTCATTATCAATACTGCAATATCGATACACGTACTACGTGCGCATAGGTCAAGGGACGAAAAATGAATGAACAATTCGACGTACTACGTGTCTGCGTCACGTCAGTCGTTTTTTTAGTATGGAGTGTCGATTACAGAAAAAATCATTTAGTGTTCCTATTACGAGTGCTAGTCGTTTTCTGTAAAATAACAGAAAACCACGGCGAGTAAAACAATATTTAAACGCTAGATCATCAATGTCGTGAAGGTATGATGCGAGCGAATGCGCTTTTTAGCATGAACCTTCATCGTCATCACCATCCGTTGTTTAGTATAATTGGTATAGAACAACAATCGCACTATTCAACATAAACAGCAAACCGGATTACTATAATAAAATATACTGATTTATAGGGTAATTATTTTTCATTCATAAAATAATATGAATAATGAATAATCTATGTGTTTGTTGCATTTTATTTCGTGATTTTTTTTACTTTTAAAAATATTTTCATCTTTTCATTTTTATTGAATAAAGTGCACAAACAAATTTTCATTTTCAAATGAATACATGCAATTCAATTGATATTCCTCTTATGTAAAACATTTATTTTATAGACAAATCAAAGTGTATTGTTAACAGCCTGGCAGTTTGTTAGTGATAAACATGGGTGTCCCCAGGGGGGGAGCAAGACGGGGCACTTGCCCCCCCCCTGGAAAAATGTTATTTCCACAGAAATTGGTAAAATTCCAAATGATAAATTAGTTTCTAAAAATAGGTCTACTAAGTTTCCATAACATATTATGTCAACGCACGGCTGACGGCTATCTATGAAAACTATCATTAATAATAATGGGACTATTTCTTAATGTATTTTTTGAGTGATGTATTAATTGTACATTATACATAAATGTCAGTAATGTTTTAATTCATAATTTTAATAATGACGAAATATAATAATTTACTATAAATAAAATGTATAAAAAAATTTTCATTTATTTTTTAAATTAATTTTGCCCCCCCCCCCCTAGAAAAATGTCTGGGGACGCCCATGGTGATAAAGAAATAATAATAAACAATTTGAACAGAATGAGTAGAAAAGAGTGTACATGTTTATTATTTTTTCAGCTTATGTTTTTCTACATGCAATCGGTTTCACATTAAAACAATCATCCTGTAAAACATGAGTACAACTTCTACTTCTATTACTACTACTACTATTACTACTTCTGATGCCTGCTGTCGTGTTATGATAATATAATATTCATCTCTCGGAGCGGTCAAGTAAATTGTTTAAAAGGAAAACTACAACGTGCATTGAGTATATCGAGTTGTCGGTAATTACAATCATAATAATTTTAATAAATTCAAGGACGCCCAGCGCTCATGTCTATCGGTTACATTTTCTAATAAAACTACATAAAATTACGATATACGCTAGGACGACGTATGCTTATGTGTATAAGCCATACATGTTAGAGCGGAGACAATTTAGGTAATAATTACTATACCGTGTAAAATGCAACTGAGAATTTTAAGCCTAACGGATTTGCAGCCACCGATTACACGGTAATTTTTATGTGAAGGTGGAATTTTCGGTTTTTACAGAAGAACGTTACAGTGAAACTCTGACTCGGACATTCGATATACTTACCATTGTATTCGGTCATGTGTGTATTTTAATCATCAAATATCTTGTCTCAGAATAATATACTAGTATAATTATGTAAGCTTAATTAAAATCACAATCGCGGGGGAGTGTGAGTTTCCATCTGATTGTTATTATTTTAATGAAACATTTAAGAATGCATTCAATACTAACTTTGTTTAAAAAAAAAACATTTGCATCTTTTATTTCAAATTTATAGTAGGTGATTTGATAAAAGAAATAAAGTGAGCCAATGAGAGATAACGAAGACGAAGTTAGTGATTTTTATGATTACCTAAGTGTTTAGCTTAATGGAATTTATGTTGTATGGTACGTACATTTTACTATGACTGTGCCAAGATCTACCAACTTACCTACACGGTAAATGAAAATACAGCATAATAATATAAATATAGTAGGTTTATTTTAATAGGTATTAAATGTATATATAAAACTGAAAAAAACTCTAAATTAAACGAAACTAAGATTGTGGACACAATTAAATACTTTTATAATAGGTACTTGGTGAATTTACTGCAGTATAAAGTCATAATGGACAATTTCATATTATTATCTTAATATTTTATGTGATAAATATTTTTGGTTAATCTGTATTTTAACTTAAATATATTAGAATTCACATCATAATGTTTATGAGTGAAATTTATAAAGGTTATACTTTTTAATTTGCCGAATTTTCCAGTTTCATTATTTTAGCACATAGTTAGATAATTGAAAGCATTTTTTTTTGTATAACAACGCATTATTAAAAAAATGTATAAATATTTAGTGTCAGTAGTTTTGGATTCCTGTACTTAATTATAAGAGTCTATTAACACTATACATTACACTTGAAATTATCTGTGAATATATTACTGTTATGTAAATTGGAAAGTTCTTCTGGAAGTTATAGATTCTTAATTTCCAGCCATTCCAGGTCAAATTTTAACAACATTCAATCAGGATATCAATTAATGAAAATAATTTCATAGTTTTCTCAAATTTTTTGTTCAGTATTTTATGAAAAATATTTAATTTAAATAATAAATAAAAAAAAATAATTAATTTAAATTATACTGTTAAATATAAATGACTGTACAAGTTTTTTTATTTTTATTTATTATATTAAATTTATTGGAAATTTTATTTAAAATATACAAAATATTATTAGGTTAAAAGTATTCGTGATCAACAAAACTGATAATCCGTGATGATTACAATACATGATAAGTTCCACAGTTAATGTAATGTATGTGGTTATTGTAAATGCGGTCAATAAACTACGCCTTGTACACATAAAATATACCTCTCTACACGATATATATACATACATACAATATTACTGTAGGGTAGGGTTTATAACATTACAACACACTACATTGTAATTAAATCCGTCAATAGTATTGATAGGTGTACTAGATGAATGTGTTGTAAAAAAAATTGCTTTTATTTTTGTTTTAGTTGTTGTGTATGCCCTCGTGTCTTTAAGACGTATAATACATATATAATAATTCCAAACGCGATGCAGAGTAAATTATTGTTTGGCCGTTGGTTTGATAATAAAATCAATGGTTTGACCTATAACAATGTGGTGGTCTGAGTTTATCAACAATTCAATATTCTGTTTTGTTTTATTTTTGATTACATTTAGAGTCTGGGCTGTCAACAGCAAAATATTAGCCCGTGGTAATCACGTAAAATCATCAATAGCATAACGAATTGATTTAAAATTAGTTTTAAAGATAGCTAACATGTATCTTTGGAGTTTTTATCATTACATATCCTATAACTAAATAAAGAAAAACTAAAACGACAATAAAATTTGTTTACGTTTTTTTACTGACACAATAAATGAAAAATGATTTAATGAAAATACAATTTAGCATTTAAAGTCTTCAATTAGAATATGATAAATATACATTTTATGAAGCACTGTGAAATCCAACACGAAAAAAACAGTCTACCATAAAGGTACAAAAAAAAGGTGATGAACAAATGAAAAAACCATTATTAATATTTATTTTAAGAATACACACATGTCTATTATTGTATTTTTAAATAAAAAAATAAATACTGTCTACTTTGAAATCAATGTCCCATTATGAACACCCATATTTATACTGTAAGGAATAAAGAACAAATAATAGCTGTATAACGAGTCTTGATGCACTCACTTGTGCACTTTTCACACTTGTCAAGTACGTTTGTCCGTCAATTATACACAGAAACTAAAAATAATAATACGTTAATTGATGAAAAAACGAAGTGAATTTGATTGATATCAAAAACTGAATATTATATTATAATGGTTATCTAACTATATAAGTAAGTTTTTATTTGTATAATGCTGCATAATACAATTATAATTTTTCCACATTAATTCTAGTTACTAAGCTTTTGTAATTTGCCTGTATAACTTAGTAATAGTTTTTTATTAAAAAATTGATAACATATTAGTTATTATATTTAATCAACGAATAATGATTTTAAATTTTAGTTAGATCTGACAAACACTATACAATTAGTTGATGACAAATAAAGCAAACATAAAGCTAAAAACAAATTTTTTTACACGTTAATGAATGAATAATTTATATAGCAAAGAAAATTACTATAGATTATATTTATTGTGCGTTGAATGCATTTATAATGCTCAACAGAAATCAACCGATCAATATACGATAAAAGTGTGTTAAAGAAAAACAAGTTTTTGAGGAAGGTTGTGATGACTGTTTTGTTGCAATTAGCAATTATAGCTTAACTATCGACAACTTATGATAAAAAGAATTTTTACCTTTTTAAAACTACGTCAGAAAAAAAATGTATTTCGAAAAAAATAATTAATTAATAGAATAAATAAAGTATTAATAAGCGTGTTCCTTCACGTTCACTACGCTGTTATGACTAAGGTTAGATATAAAATAATAAATCACATATCATGTTTAACGACTTTTTTTTTTTAATAACAATTATTATTAATCTGACAAGCTAATTTTATTTTACTGGTAATAAAAAAAATGATAGTCATTGAGAATAATATCATATTTTTTGATTTTGAATTTTGTATGACATCGAAATACATTAAATTCGTGAAGGTTACATTAGGAATTACATTAAAATATATTAGCTCTTTTGAAAGCATATGTTTGCAACATGTATGAAATATTGCAGCTAAAGTGCGTTGTTGGTAATATACCAATGCAAGAATAAAATCGTCGTCATAAGATTAGTTGGTACCTTTATGTTATACATTTATATTAAATCGTATAGTACATACTATAGCAGCTGCAACGTGCGGGGTTACGCGTCTGTC